CTATCAAATAAGAGAAATGGAATTTACATTCATCAATGCAATACATGCCGCGAGCACAGAAAAATTTTAATATTTTTCTTTTGAAATTTTTCAATTATACAAATTATAATATGATTTAAACTTAAAACTGTATAAAATTTGTATAGCCATAAAAAGAATTAATAATTATCCTTTTGAAAAAAAATTATACAAAAATATATATTTATTGTATTTTATTGTAAAATTATAGATTTTAATAATTTGACACAACAAATGTGCAGAGGTACATGAACGCGCGCTCGAAGCAGAAATATACATCTAGGTTTATAAATTTTATATAAAAAATACTTAATAGCCAATACATAATAAAGAAAATAATTTTTGAAAATCAGTGACAAATTTAGAAATTATCTTGTAATAATTTATATTTATGTATATGTTTAATTAAGATATGTATTTAAAATTTAAAATTGAATAAATTGATGATGGTTATATTTTCTGAGAAAATTACTAAACTTAGTACGAAACCGTAAAAATTGAAAAAAGTCTACAAAATTTAAAAATAATTAAAAAATTGATAATTTAAAAAATAAATTATTTGAATTTATAAATTCGAAATATACAACAAAATATTGTGAAATAAATAAATAAAATAATTAGATTAATAAGATGCTAGCAATCAGATTTTCAAATATACATATAATAATTATTCAACAAGTGTGAATATAACTTCGCTATGTGCAACCCACCTGTGACGAAACTACAGGGTGCGGCATAAGTAATTGCACACTTTTAAATTCCTTATAACTTTTTTTGGTGTCAATATTTTTAATTGATTTTAGGCTTATTTTTTAGCTCATTCAATTCTCTATTATGGCTAATCAACGTGATTCTATAATTTCACTTTTTTTGAAAAAAAATTCAGTCCGCAAAATTTCACCTCTTTTGAATGTCCCAAAGAGCACTGTACAATACACTTTCAAAAAATTCTGGTGAAAATTTTTTGGGAGAAAATTTTTTTGAAATTAATTTAGTAATGATGGCACAACTAAGAACTTACAAAAAAGTGGAAGACCGCATTCCGTCAGCACTTCCAAGAATATTAAAATGATCAAAATTTGGGTGTATCGCAATTTTCGACTCTCCATGAGAAAAGTCGCTCGTGAAACCGGAATAAGTGAGAGAACCGTCAGACGAATAGCTAAAAATAAACTAGGGTTAATACCCTACAAAATCCAAAAAGCACAACTGCTAACAGAAAAAACAAAAAAAGTTAGGCTTGCAGGATGCAAACTGCTCCTTCAGTGGCACGCATGTCCGGACATTCCCTTCTCAGACGAAAAAATTTTTACAATAAAAATCGTACACAACCATCAAAATTATAGAATCTGGACTACAGAATCTCCTCTTTCCGATGGGCTTATCACTCATTTCCAACATCCCCAATCTGTCATGGTTTAGGCCGGTATTTGCGCGTCAGTCAAAAATCCCTTATTTTCGTGGATTTTGGTGTAAAAGTCAACAAAGACTATTACTTGCGTGAATTTTTTCAGCGTGTTCTGAAGCCTCGGTTCAAGAGCCATTTCGGTCGCAGAGTCTGGATTTTCCAACTGGACTCTGCTCCGGCACACAAGGCGAAAGAAGTTCAGGACTGGTGCAAGGCCAATTTTCCTGGGTTCATTAGCGCTCAGGAATAGCCGCCATACTCCCCGGATTTGAATCCGATGGATTATTCATTTTGGTTTATTTTGGAGTCCAGGACCTGTGCTATGCCTCATAAAAGTTTGGAGTCTCTGCGCCACTCACTCACCCGAGAGTGAGACTTAATTACACACAAGGAGGTGCGTGCTATTTGCGAAATTTTTTCTTCGCGTCTTCGCCTCTGTATCAAAGCCAAGGGTGGGCATTTCGAAACTGCCTGATTATTATTGTTCCCTATTTAATTCTCTATCATTTGATTGTATTTCGATTTTATTTTATTGTGTTTTAATAAAGTTATGAGAGAAAACAAGTGTGCAATTACTTATGCCGCACCCTGTAGTAACTGCATAAATAAGGCTCCAAAAAGAATTCTAGAACATATAATAATTTTTTAATTTTTCAATAATTTCTAATAATAATTTTAAAATTAATTAAAAGATAGTACATATGATAATTTAATTTAAAAATAATTAAAATTCATATAAATTTTTAATTTTAGTTCTTTAAAATTTATTTAATTATTAATTGGTTATAATTATGTAGACATTTATTATAAATAATACGATTTTTATTTACATAATTAATTTTTATAAACAAATATCTATTTCCAATAGATCTTAACAGAATAAGTTTAGTTGACTCCACAGAACCCGAAATTAAATAAAAATATTTTAGTCAGCTGGACAACCCACCGTCAAACTTCACACGAACTGAAAAAAATGGCAACAGAAATTTAAAATTGCAAAACATACAAAAAACAAAAACACAAAAATACATTTAGAATAATGTTAATCAAAGACAATAAATTATTAATCAAGTTATGTGATAAATAAAAGTCCATTTTTGTGCCCACAACAAACAACAATATTAACTTATCATAAAAATATTATTATGTAAAAAAATATTTAATAAATAAATTTTAATAGGCTATACTTAAATGATAGTAATTTTTATTATTAGCAACTTATTATCACAATTACCAGCATATTTGTTAAAAATCGACTCAAAAAAACCTGACAACAAAATCAACAAATTCGACAACAAGATCGACAAAATACAACAAAATTAAAAAAATAAAAGTAAATTATAGAATGAAAATAAAACTCAATTCTCTAATAAAATATAAATTATGTAGATAATAGTAGATAACATATCTTCACATAATGGTTTATAAAACAAACTTCTGGGAGATAAAAAATAATTTTGTGAAAAGCAAATAAATGTTAATAATTATCAAATTTATATAATAAATTATGAATAATAAAATTATACTGATTGAATAATATTAGATTGGAACTAGCCTTTGTTAAAGATTAATTTAATTAAATAATTGTATTAAAAATAAAAAATATAAAATCATCTAATTAATCATTTAATTAAAATTAACTAACAAAACGAAAAAAGCTTAATGAGATTTGTTCCTACAATGATAGAAATGCATTAAAAACATTCTTTTATAGAATCTGGTGCTTAATAATAAGAAAAAAATTGTAAATAATTTTCAATTTGTATAATCGTATATATTATCATTCAAATTATCATGCTCAAAATATAAGTAGTACATAAATCTTAAACATTATCGTTACTTATAATATTAGTTAATATGTATTTTAAAATGTATTAATTTATTTTAACAGTAATATGTGATTTGAACTTTTAAAATCTGCAATAGGGTATATAAATAATAAATATAATTGCATCTGTAAAGAACAGTAAAGGTCCATAAAATAAAGGTCCGTGTATACAAGATTTATTTGATTAAAGGTATTTCCATATTTACTTGAAATAGCCCTGTAAAATATAGAATCATACTAAATTCGCCCAACGCCAAAAATTATAGCCGTCCGGCCCCTTTATGAACCCCTTGCAAATTCACTTAATTTCCAATTGCCTTCTCCCAATCATTCCTTGTAAAACAACAAAAAACTTCTATTAAATTTGCTTGTTGCACACAAACTAAATTGTTAATTTTAATTGTGAAATAAATGCTTTATTTATTCTCGACATTAAATTATTCCTCCAGTTTGTTTGGTAATCCAAAAAAAAATTAAAAATAAATAAAACTGCCTCAATGCTTGAAATAGATGTATAAATTACTTGCAATTGATCCATCTTTTTTGAATAAACTTTTAATTTATTAAACTTTAAATAATAATAAATAAATTAATAAACTTTAATAAATTAATAAATAATTTAATAAATTAATAAACTTATTAATAAACTTTAAACTTTTAATTATTCTAAAAATATTTAAATAAAAAATATTAATAAGAGATATAAAAATATCTAGGTTAATTAAAATCTGTATTTATAAAAAATAATCTATAAAAAAATTAAACTTATTAAAAGTTTAAAAACGTTTGTTGTAGAGTTTCTAACTACAATGAGAGAACTCCATTCGGAAGTGGCGTCCTGCTTCTTGAAGAAGATGAATTAGTAATTTGAAGCTATAATAATTTAACCCAAAATTTTTTCTTCATTTAAGACGTGTACTTACATTTTAAATAAGTATTGGCATTTTTATAATTGCGCGCCAAGAATCTTTGAAGACATTATTAAAGAGACCTAAACAACAAATGTTGGAAGTTTAGTAAAAAATAAATTTAAATATAAGTTCTTAAGAAAACAGATTCTTAAGAAAACAATTGTTATTACTTTTGAAACGAGTAAAGAATCTGATGTTAGATTGATGCAGTAGCATATGGGCTTCATCATTTGAAATTAAATACAAAGATTTATTTAATAAAATATTACAATTCATTTATTGATGTTAAATATAATTTCTAAAATTTTTAGTGATAAAAGTATGAATCCGGTCAATAATATTATTTCTATTTCCAAGACTATTTTGACTTTATTAGAGGAGAAACGGCGTATTGACGGTGAACTTGCAAAACACGAAGTACTTTTAATGGCTAATCTTAAATTAATTACAATGGAACATCCAAAGAAACCATCATTTGAAATTAAATTACAAAGATTTATTTAATAAAATATTACAATTTGTTAATTTAAATAAAAAAACTAAAAAAAATAAATTTAAAAAAAAGAACGAATCAAAAACAAAGCAATCAAATAAAATGAAAATAAATTTTTAAGCAGATTTGTATTCTTTTAAGCAACCAAAAAAATAATAGAATGCAGATACCGTATTTTTTGTATTAGAGCCCCATGGGGCTCTATTTTTCAACTATCCTCCAAAGTGGGGCTTTATTACAGCGTGGGGCTCTAATAGAGCGTGGGGCTCTATTTTTCAACATATTTTTGAAAATAGGTAATAGGATTTCAATTATAAGGTTAACTATATTTATCAAATCAAATAAGATTTAATCACAAAAACAAATTTCAGCATTAGGATAATTACAAAGTGGATAGTTGCGCGTGCACAGTAATTCGCGGTTAAGTCATTTGATTTGGATTTAAAGTCAATTTTTTTTAATTTGTGGAAGGATCGAATCCTATCGAGCATTTGAATGTTCGATTTTATTTTGCTTCAGTCCGCATGGTTCATTCCTTCGTGTGTATATCTAGTTTAGTCCCAATTGATGGATATAGATGTGAGCAAAAAGTTATTTGGGGATTAATTTTGAAATCGGGAGACTTGGGGAGTATCAATGATTTGGGGATTAATCGGATATCGGAGGATTTCTGAGATGAATCTGCTGATAACTAGGCTAATCTCGCCATTATCTATGCTTACCAGTATATAGAAGAATCTCCTAATATCTCCTATAACGTCCAAATCCCTTCATTGGAGAGAATCATATATATGGAAGGAATATAAATATCAATAGATTAAGAGTGATTTTGGGAATATCAGTCTACGGATTGTTTTTAATGTTATTGACATACAAAGAGATTTTCGAGGAGATATCATGAGATTAGGCGGAATATCTGGTAATTTGTATGGATTAAGTTTGGTTCAATGGATATCGGCAGATTAAGGTGTATTAATCCATAAATAACCTCTTAATCGCATATACATAATCTCTAACATTGGCACAGAACATTAAATAAAAGAAAAAACAGTATAATATTAAAAATTAACAATTTATTATACAATAGGTTAATTTTAAAAAGTGGGGCTCTATTTCAGCGTGGGGCTCTAATACAGCGTGGGGCTCTATTTTTCAACTATCCTCCGAAGTGGGGCTTTATTACAGCGTGGGGCTCTAATACAGCGTGGGGCTCTAATACAAAAAATACGGTATATTACTACCGCAATATGTTGGAGATTTAAATGAAATAAATTTAAAAATATCTTAAAATTTATCCTTTATTTTTTTGAATAAGCTTTAAATTTATTCAACTTATTATCATAAAAATAATTAAATCTAAAATGTCAATTCAGAATATATAGAAATAGATAAGTTGCATTAGAATATGTAATTATTATTAATATTAAGTTTGTTTTATAATGAAATAACTACAATGGATACTTCCAGGCACTACTATTATTGGCGATTGCTGGAAAGCATGATAATATGTATACAAAGCTTAATATATCTGATGATTAAGCAGATAATCTTTTGTAAATAATAAAATAGGAGTCCACACAAATAAAATTGAAAGTTCATGGCGACATTAATTTTATTTAAAATAGACAATTAATATTGATATTATATAACAATTAAATGACAATAGTTGTAAAATTTTATAAAAAGCACTAGCTTAATCTTATTAAAAATAATATTTTTGAATCTTGAGTTATTTAAACAAGGCATATAAAGTATTTAAACAATATAAAGTTATTTAAACAAAAAGTTATTTAAACAAGGCAACAGCATATACATATTAATATTAAAAAAATTTTATTAAAATACTCAGGCAGTTCACATAAAATTTTGTTATTTTAATCTAGAATATTCATGAAATAGAAAGAATAATTCGCATGTAAATAAAATTTTTGAATTAATTATAATTTTTCAACATAGAAAGATATTTATGTACAAAAATAAATAGAAAAGATGGTTAAAATAGATAAAACTAGAATAATATATTGGAAATTCTTCCGGTTCGAATTATTTATTAATCTCAACAAATGGTGCTCCCTGAGAGAAGCCTACAAATACATTTATATAAAATAAATTTCCACAGAATAATTCATATTTATTTACTCAATACATAATAAATAAAATAATTAATGAAAGTAATTAACAAATTTTATATGTATAATTTTAATTGTTTTATTTATGCATAATAAAAGTTCTGGTGATTTAACTTTAAGGTTGTGATTTAACTTTAAATTTTGACATAATATAAATTGGTTATTAATTTCTGAAAAATGTAAATTTGATGGTTTTATTTTTATTTTTTTAAATTTTTGACTAAATTATACAGATGTTAAATCAGCAAAACAATAGTTGAAGCATCTTTGTTTTATCCGTATAAATAAGTTTGTTTAATATAATTAATTTTAATTTCTTCAAGTGGTGCTCCCAGGCGGAAGTAAATATACATTTAAATTAAATAAAATTACACATAATACTTACATATTTACTACAATAATTATTTAATAATAATTAATAAATAAAATAATTAATGAAATAATTAACAAATTTAATATGTATAATCTTAATTTTTTAATTTATGCATTATAAAAGTTCTATGTGCTGTGATTTAAATTATAAATTTTTAATGTTAATTGCAAATGGCCAGGAAGTACTCATGACACATTCATACGAAACTACTTGTTCCCAAAATTATTTATAAATTTATAAATTGGAAATGCTCGAAATAATTATTACGATATAAATAAATTTTTGTGAATCAAAAAAATGAGAAACACAAATAATTAACCTATTAAATAATAATATCATTTTAAGATTATACAAAACTTTAAAATATTTTTATAATTATTAAAGTTAACGAATATTATTTAATAATAATTAATTTCATAAATCTTTTATAGAATATAAATTGAAATTTTGTATTTATATTATAAATTGAAGTAAAATTCAGGATATAATAAAACTTTTAGAAAAATAAAATAAGTTATTGAAAAAGTAAATTATAAAATAAAATTAAAAATAATTAATATAAAAAACTTGGATCACTAATAAACTAATATTCGAACAATTTAATAAATAAATTACTAAAATAAAATAAAGAAACAAAAACAAAAGAAAAAATTAAAAATAAAAAAATTTAAAACGTTAAATATATAGTTTTATACATACAAATTTTTAAAAAATGGTTCAATTTTTGAAAAAATGATACTTCCAGATAAAAAATTTAATCTATATGATGATGAAACATATTATCCTTTGTAAATGTAAAATAGGCGCACACACTAATAACATTGAAAGTTCATGGCGACATTAATTTTATTAAAAATAGACAATAAATATTGATATTAAATGTATATAAAATGATACTAATTTTAAATATATTATAAAAATAATTTGCATAATCTTGTTAAAAAATATTTTTGAATATTGAGTTATATAAACAAAACTTATGCAACAGAATATTATATTAAAAATTATTTTTATTTATAATACTCAAGCAATGCATTCACATGAAATTTTGTTTTTTTAATCCAAAATATTTATGAAATTGGAGAATAATTTCCATGTAAATAAAAAATCAAAACGGTAAAAATTATTTTCGAATATTTTAGATTTAAGAAATTAAATATAAGCATAGAAAAAAAAAATAAGTTTCATATTTATTTAGTTAACTTAAATACAAAATATTTTACGCAAGTTTAATATTTTTAGATAAGATTTTATTTAAAGATTCCTATTATAAAAAAATGTAGACATTACGAGCACATCTGTAGAATAATTAATGACTAAATATAATTAATGAAAATTTTTTTATATGTAATAAGTATAAAACTGATAATTTTATTAAATTATAGTTATTCAACAAAGAAAGATGGTTAAAATAAATAGGTAAAATAAATACTAGAATAATATCTTGAAATGAGAAAAATCATTAGAAACGGTAAAGTTTTTGTCAAAAAATTTTAAAAAATAAATAAATATACTGATGAATAAAAATAGTTTATAAATTTTACTGAGTTAGCATTTAATAAATTATTTAATTGAATATAAAAATTTCAATTAAAAAATAATTCTCAGGTAAATTTTAACAACGAAAGATAAGCACCAATTAGGAGTCCATCTTTACTATAAATAATAATAATATAAATTTTTCGTAAAGGAATAAATTTATGTCCTTCTAAAACTGAAATTAGGCTTCTTGTTCCCAAATTATTTATGCACTGGCATGTTAAATAAATTTTTTGTTTTATCTATGATTTCGACATTCATCTCTACTGATGCAACATTGCTTGTGTACACACCATCGAATGATACACCATCGAAATTGCAAAGGTATTCTATATATATACTATCTGTAGCAATTTGTTTATTATTAAGGTTTATACATATAAATAATAAATAATCATTTTATAATTTAGTAAGTATTCATTATATTTATAAGACACTCACCGGACTAATAATATATAAATTTGTTAAATCAAACAAATTCTATATTTATTTTATATATTAGTTTTGAATTTTATATAAAATTATATTAATGATTTTATTTGATTTTATTTATTCATATACTTTATTTTTTGATATTAATTTGTTTATCAATAAATATATTGAGGCAATCAGAAACTTTTCCAAATTAATTTAAAATGTAAACATGCTTATTAAAAATGTGATTTTATTTCATTTTATTATTTTCGTCTAGTAAGAAATTGGACCATGGACCCCATTATCCCTTAATTTAAAATTAATTAAAGAAGATTTTGAAGGATCATGGGGTCCATGTCCCTTACACTATGAAATTTATTAGTAGTCATTTTTATAAATATTTAATTAGAATTTGTTCAGCAATGGATGAGAAAATTATTTTCCAATAAAATTAAAATTTGTAGAATAGTGCTGGACATATCAAGAACGTGCCATCTAAAGTTTTATTTTTAATTAATTACTAATAATTTCTATTTATTGTAAATCTAATTAAAATCTATTTTAATAATTTGTTCTTTTGTTTTTATTTATTTCAATATTTTATTTTATAAATTTTTAACATTTTGTATAATTTATAGTTGAAGCCTCCTTTGATTATTCTTAATCATTTTAATCTTTAATATAACAATTTTTCAATTAATACAAAGAATAAAACAAAATCAATTATATTTAAAAGATAAGAATTTAAATTTGTAATCTTAATATTTAATTAATTTGTATTTAGATTGTTTTTCAAAAGGTTTTTGGTATTTAGAAATTTTCATATTTTCTTATAAATGTATTTTTAAAAATTTTAACGTTTGTTTTATGATTAAATATTTATTTTTAGATAAATATGTGTAGTTTATTATCACATCTACGTATTTATCATATTTTTATTCGATTCATTCTAATCACAAAATTGAGTGATAGTAATAAGGAATAAGCTAGTCCAAATCTGATAATAAAATAGGAGAAGAATTGGATGAAAAACAGAAAGGCCTACTTTTTATATGGATATTTAGTATGTTGAAATATTTCTCTCTCATTTTACTGTGATGCTCGGAAAAAATGAGCTTGGCTTCTTTTCTGCCTCCTCCGCTTATATTTTTTAGTCGTATAAACCTTAGGTCAATACTAACAGAAACTCCCTTTATTATTGAAATCTTATTTTTTTATT